GTAGAAAGTATTAAATAATTTAAAAATTGTACTAAAATGACAACTCCGCCATTGAAGTGGGATATACAGTGCTAGCCAAAAGTATCCTCCCTCTTGGTAGCTTTCGGTAGATCGGTTATACTTATTATAGTGAAATTCAGAAGGAGGTAATTAATTGATGGCTTCTCATTTAGACATAACAGGTGACGTAATAGTTATAGATGACATTACAAGGCCACTGTGACCGATAATTTTAAATGGTATGGCGAGTGATATTTTGTCAGAAAGGTAATAAAAATACCTATTCAATCATACTAATATTGTTTGGGTTTAAGCTTATTTTAATGAATGAATTAAATAAATTATAAAATTGTAATTAAGCATTTAATTAATGTCAGAAGAAATAGGTCCACATATTACAAAGGAAGAAATATTACACGCATTAAAAACAATGAACAGTAGAAAAAGCCCTGGACCTGGCATGCTTCCTATAGAAAATCTAAAAATTCTAGATGAAAAGCACATTGATGTTTTAGTGACACTCTTGATCCAAATTTATAGTTCATGCGTATTGCCCAAAGAGGGGTTAACGTCGATTTTTATTTGTCTCTTCAAAAAGAAAACCGTATGGGAGGGCAGCAATTACCGCACCATTAGCTTGATGCCTCATGTGCTAAAGTTACTACTAAAAGTCATCCATAACCGAGTATATCACAAACTGGACATAGACGTTAATTATACACAATTTGGTTTTCGCAAAGGCCTGGGAACGCGTGAATCTCTTTTTTCACTTAATATACTGATACAAAGATGCCTGGACGTCAATCAAGATACATACGCGTGTTTTATTGACTATAATAAAGCATTCGATAAAGTACGACATAAAAAAATAATGAATATCCTGAAATCAAAGAATATTGACTACAACGACCTCAGAATCATATCAAATTTATACTATAAACAGCGAGCAAAAGTACGTGTTAACGAACAGCTGTCAGACGAAATTGAAATTAGATGTTGAGTGAGACAAGGATGCGTATTGTCACCAATTATTTTTAATGCCTACTCTGAAGATATCCTGAAAAACGCTCTGGAAGGTAAAACAGCTGAAATAAAGCTAAATGGAGTTCCCATTAACAACATTAGACATGCGGAGGAAACTGTGATCTTAGGCGAAAATATTGAAGATCTTCAGAGACTGGTGACCAGAATAGCGGAGTATAAAAAAGAGTGTGATCTAACAATGAATGTCAAGCAGACAAATTTATGAGAATATCGAAAACTAAAAGAAATAACGAGAATCTTCTAATAAACGGAAAAAATGTCGAACAAGTAGACAAATATGCATACCTGGGAACAATGATTAACTCCACAAATGATTAAATTCAGGAGATCAAAATCAGAATAGAAAAGGCTAGAGCAAATTTCAACAAAATGAGAAGAGTGTAGAGATACAAGGGATTTAAAATTGGAACTAAAAGTTAGGTTGGCGAGGTGCTATGTTTTTTCGATATTTTATGAAATGGAATATTGAATGCGACATCAATGAAAAAACTAGAATCATTCGAACTGTGGGTGTATAGAAGAATTCTGAAAATATCGTGGACAGAACACGTCACCAACAAAGAGGCTTTGAGAAGGATTTACAAAGAAGTAGAAATTTGAAATACAATTTAAACAAGAAAATTGGAATATTCCGGACATATTACACGTGAAGAAAAATACACCTTACTCCAACTGATTAAGCAGGGAAAGATTCAAGAAAAGAGAAGCATATAGAGGCGTAAAATGGCTGCGCAACCTAAGAGAGTAGTACGGCTGTACATCAAATGAACTTTTCAGAGCAGCCGTCTCAAAATTCCGAATAGCTATGATGATTGCCGACCTCCGCCGCGGAGATGGCACTTGAAGAAGAAGATTTAATTAATAAGGATTTAAAAAGCAGTTCTTATATTAAGTTTTTAAAATATACTTCATCTACTTCTTGAGAGTAATGCATCATATTGCTAAACTTTTGTCGTACATCTCCAAATGTGTCGGGGGAAATTGTCTTACATTTGTCAACAATTCGTTGTTTCAAAATGTCAATACTATCGGGTGCTGTAGCGTTAATCTTAGATTTTTAAATCTAATGGTGTGAATTCCGGAAAAAAATCTAATGGTGTGAAGTCCGGCAAGCGAGCTGGTTATTTTATCGAATCTCCTGTGTAAACATTTAAACGTCTTCTTAAACAATAATTAAACTAAATGTTTAAGGTACAAAGATGTTTTTTCTTGGTTATTTGTCAACTACTTGACCAATAACCAGAGGCAAATTTTGGAATCTTTAATAATTAAATGCGAAACTACAATTTTAGTATTTATTTCATTTATTCATCAAAATCGGCCTAAATCCAAACAAAATAAGTATGATTAAATAGGTATTTTATTTCAATACCTTTCAAATTAGATTCTAGATTCAGTTACTAGAAGGTCCCATTTGAAATTATCGGCATAGTGGCTCTGTAACGTCATCTATTACTATTACGTCACCTGTTATAACTATTCCGTTTATTTCCTTCCTGTAAATTTCACTTTTATAAGTACACCCGTTCAAAAGATACTGTTGAAATTGATAATAACTTCTTGTAACAAACCCCTATCATCGTCATAGAGTAACAACAAACTCTTTTTTAATATAATTTGTTGTGTTTTAAACTACTGATCCGTCTCATTATAATTTAGTTCGTATTATTTTTTGATTTTATTTTATATAGACTCATAGTTGTAATTTTTAAAGTTTTGAGTAAATTCTAGTTTCTAGAAATCTAATAAAAGATTAAAATAGTTACTAGTTTTACATATTTCTGGGAAAATTTATCCATTATAAACCCTCCCTTTAAAAATATGTACCCGGTTAATCCGTCGGCTATTGTTGTTGCATCTGCTGCGTCTGTAGATGGTTCTGATAAGGATAATATGAATGACTTTGTAATTTACGTTTTTCCCCAAGGTAAAATTATCTAGTTTTTAGTTACGCCCTCTCCTCTACTAGGGAGTTCTGTTAGGCATTTGTAATGTATTTTTAGTAGTATCGAACGAAAGTCAGTTCTGTAAACAGGTATAGTAAGCAATAAATAGTTCTATGAAAATTGTCGTCGTATATTATTTTAAAGCAAATATATCTCACAGTAAACTAATCGTGGGTGAAGACAACTACTTCAACTTCTGACAAAGGTTTTGAAGAAATGTTATGCAGTATTAAAATAATGATTAAAATCAAAATAGTCATCATCATCATCATCCAGCCGAATTTTCACATCCATTGTTGGATATAGGCCTCCTCCAAACGTCTCCAGTTCTCTCTATATCTAGCTGCTGCAATCAAGTTTGTTTCTATCCTCCTTAGGTCGTCGGTCCATCGGGTGGGTGGTCTGCCTCGACTTCGCTTGTCGGCTCTTGGTCTCCACTCCAATAATCTCTTCGTCCATCTTCCGTCGTCCATTCTAGCAACATGTCCACCCCACTGCTACTTTTGTTTATTGATTAGCAGTATAATATCGTCTACGCCAGTTCGTCGGCGTATCTCCTCATTTCTTACGCGATCTTTCAAGGTCAGGCCCAGCATTGATCTCTCCATTCGCCTTTGTGTTATCCTCAGTTTTTCGGCAGTAGCTTTCGTTAAATCTGCGCCGTAGGTCAAGACTGGTAAGATACATTGGTTAAATGCCTTCCTTTTCAGGTGAATTGGGATATTTGTTTTAAAAATGTCTCTCATCCGTCCATATGCCGCCCATCCCAACATGATTCGTCTATTTAGCTCGCAGGTTTGGTTGTCTCTGGTTATTCTAATTTCATGACACAAGTATGTGTATTTATCGATTAATTCTACCTTGTTGTTATTGATCTGTATCTCTTCGCTGGGAACCATATTGGTCATCATTTTGGTTTTCTCGAAATTTACCTCCAGCCCAGTTTCTTGTAGTATATCATTCAGTTCTTGGAGCATGTCTTTGATCTCTCCCAGATTATCTGACAGAAGCACGATATCGTCCGCAAAACTTAGATGGTTTAATCTTTCTCCATCGATGGATATTCCTTTCTGTTGCCATGTTAGTTTTTTAAATGCATACTCAAGAACGGTAATGAACAGCTTTGGTGACATGGTATCACCTTGCCTGACTCCCCTTTTTATCTTTATTTTTTTAGTTGCAGAATATAGACTTATGGTTGTTGTGGCATTTTCATATATATTTTTAATTATATTACAATATCTGTGGTCGATCCTGCAATCTTGTAGTGCTCTTAAGATGGACGGTAGTTCGACTGTATCAAACGCCTTTTTAAAGTCTACAAATATCAATGCCAAGGGACGGTTATATTCGTTAGTTTTTTCTATTGGGTTTTTAGGCACTGCAGGTGATCGTTTGTGCCGTAATTAGGACGGAAACCAGCTTGTTCCCGAGGTTGGTAAAAATCCAGCTTTGTCTCTAATCTATTCGTTGTTATTCGGGTGTATAATCTATAAAGATGGTTAAGGAGACTGATTGGTCTGTATCTTTCCAGGTCTGCTATATCTCCCTTCTTGTGTAAGAGTACAGTTATTGAATTATTCCACTTTGTTGGGATATTTTGATTCCATAGGCATAGATTAAAGAGCTTTTGAATTTTGGCTATCAGTACTGAGCCTCCTATCTTTCAAGCTTTATCGCTTCCGTGACGACACCGTCCTCCCCCGGAGCTTTGTTATTCTTCATCTTTTTTAGGGCCTTGTAAATTTCGTTCAAGGAGATTTCTGGAATATCTTCGGAACCCTGATTTTGAACCTTCCTCTGTTGATATTCGACCATATCTAGAGTCGATTGGTTGCTATATAATGTCTCATAGAATGATTCCACAATTTGTAACAAATGTTCTCTGTTTGATGTGATGTTGCCATTTCTATCCTTGAGTTTGACTCAAAATAGTGTAGTTAAAATATTCACTCATAATATTATGAAATACACACACTGATTTTTAATGGATAATTTTTAATTTTTTAGGTAAAAATGGATCCGGAGCATCAGAGACTAAACACTGGCAAGACATGATTACTAAACCCAGGCAGACTATAGTACAATGGCATAGACTTAAACCAGAATAAGGAACATAGATTAACGAATATAAAAACTTTCGAAAGCACCCATCATCTTTCAAAGTACTTATATTTATAATTACAAAATTCGGATATTATCTATTATAATATTCTTTCTAAAATCACTATAGCAAATTATTTATATACAGTATGATGCAAATGTATGGAATAAATTCATTATTTCAGAAACAGACGACTGTAAAAAAAAATCTTAAAACACATCAATTTAAATTTTTGAATGGCCATCAACTGCTATATATGTGTTGGGTATTGCGTCATCAGTGTCGGCGTAATAACATAATCGACAATTTTTTTAAATACAAGCCGAGGTATAGCGACAGAAATTTATCTCTACAGGGTATACAATTGACTTACAATAAATGTTTACTTAAATACAATTAAATTACAACAAATGTTCAAATTGACGATCTTCAGCAATAATACAATGTAAAAGATGGGCAATAAATTCTTTCCTAACGTTTTCGATGACTTCAGGTGTTATTTGTGCAATTTCGGTTTTGATGCGCTACTTCAAGTCTTCTACATTATTCGGTCGATTTTGATACACTTTGCTCTTTCCCTTTCCCTTTCCTTTTCAAATATCCCTACAAAAAAAATCTACCGGAGTCAAATCTGGAGACCTTGATGGCAATTCGATGTGGCCACCTACCTGGGAAAACGTTATTAAGGTAATCTTATACCTCTACGCCGTAGTGTGGGGGAGCCCCACCATGTTGGTACCAAAAACTATTTATATTTGGAAATAGCTGATTCGGCTGTGGCTTTCCAGATAATTCTGAAGAAATTCTAGATAACGAGAAGCAGTTAAGTTTTCCTTAAAAAAATATGGCCCTACAATTTGATTGTTTATAATGCCGGCTCAAACATTCACCTTCTTAGGATATTGTGTCCCATACTCTTCCATCCAATGTGGATTTTCACTTGTCCAGTATCGATATGTCTGGAGATTAACGTGACCCTTTAGCATAAAAGACGATGCATCAGAAAAAATGTAAATTTTATGTGAAAATCTGATCTCTGTTATATTTTGCAATAACGGTTTCGCAGAATTCGATTCTTTTATCAAAGTCATATAATAGCCCTGGACCAGATGTTCTTTGTATGGATGGCACTTCTCCTTTTTTAGCACTTTTACAACAGTTGATTTGTGGACATAATTATCTAGTGCGGCCTGCCTAGAACTGGTATGGGGATTTTCTTGAAACTCCAGTACAACGTCCAGTTTCTTGGCTTCGGATATTGATTTTCTACCACTTCTGGGAATATCTTTAACTTGGCCTATTTCTCTATTTTTTTTAGTTTTACTTACTGTTGAGTAATTGTTTCGCGATTGGGGTATTTAGCATTAAATAAATTACGAACTTCTGCTTGAGTATTTCTCTATCTCCATGATTATGATTAAAATCTCGATTCATTTTGTTTGTGTTAGTTTTATTTTTATAAATGCTGTTATTAATGTCGGCAAAAAAACTCGAAGAGTAAAATTTTGACGTCTATTATTTGACAGATTCACAGATCATTGACAAATCAAGATGAGTCAGTGGCAATATTGATTTAAATATTTTTGTAAAATAACTTGGAATACTTACTACAATAATGAATTTCAGATTATAATGTATAATTGTTCGTTATCAATGTATTTTTTTTTTCGGAACCAGCAAAAAACACTATTTTGTTTTATTCTCAGTGGCGTTCCTTAGTGTATTTTAGTTCAGTGAATGAATATTGTAATTCCATGTTACTTAGCAAAGTTCATAATTGTGGTAAACCCTGTAGAAATATATATTCAAAGTACATCGTTGCAAAGACGATAAGGAGACCTTTCAAATGAGCTGTCACGTGTAGATCATTTGATGGTCATTCAAAAATTAAGATTGTCTTGTTTTAAGATTTTTTTTAAAGTCGTCTATTTCTGAAATAATGAATTTATTCCATATATTTGCATCATGCTGTATATATTCTGAACGTATCGATTTTATATACACTTATTTTTATTGGTGTTATAATAATCTCTTTAATGTGTATCGGTAGATTCAAATGACGGGTTTTAGTTGTTTATGAATTTTATTTGGATTCATCGCACAAAAATGGCCTGTATGTTAAAAATATTCTCTTTCTTACAAAATACAGGATACTTTTTGTGGGTAAACGTTTTTTAAATATACCTATTCAAATTATTTCCAGTTCTCATTAAGAAAGCTGAAATAATTTAACTCACATTCACATAAAAAATTTATTTTCATTTTTTGTGTACTGCACAGTTGTAAGTTTGATACAGGCATTAAATCGGTTTTTTAGAATAATACTATATCTGACGCAAATGTTTTAATATATTTATCCTTTATTTCAATTGGCTTATTTATGGCTTATATTATTTTTAATTGATTCGTGTTATATGAAGAAAAATATAATGTTTTACACTTAGACAAATAACAAATAGAAGATCAGAACTCTGCTAGCTGGGACGCTTCGAAAATAGATTTATTGTTGGCACACAGAGTTAACATACGAAGAATAATAGGCCTTGTCCGAATTTTTTTAAGTTACTTCTTCGAATAACATCAGTAAAAGACTTAAATTTCTTTTCTCTTTTAAACCAATTTCAAGACTAGTTTTAAACGCCGTCTACACTCTAGATTAAAGTTCTTTAGACGAAGGGACGAAGTGAAGTTAATCGAGGTGAGGTGACTCTCTACATACTCGTGAAGTCGAGTAATGTAGTGTGACACTTCGTATTCGAACTTCGGGTCGTTTGACTTCGACGGGAAAAACCGACACAGAACGGAAGTAGAACGAGGTGAAGGGAGTCGCATGAAGTACCTGTCTGCTGTCTACACTCTTGTAATCACTGTACTTCGATCAACTTCGCGAGTAGTATAGTGGCTGCTTTAGTGTATGGAACGGAAATATAAAAATATCACATAATACTGTTTTATGATTAGAATATTTTTCAACCAATGTTTCTGTGTAGCATATTACTAAATCAATTACACATGAAGCACTAAGGGGTAAACCCTTTGAGGCCGGAATTAATTTTTTTAAGAAAATAAAGGTTTAATGATTTTTTGTATTTATTAGGGTTCTTTGAACTTAAAAAAAGACATTTTAATGTTTTCATGATACAGGATATGGTTACTACTGGTAATCACTAGGCACTAAACCCACAAAAAAAACAAAAAATGGATTTAATAAAATAAAGTTGCTTACAATATAGCCTAGTTTGTATAAAATGACAAAAAGCAGTTTCTTTCTTTGTTTAGGCCTAACCCAACGTTACATGTTACACATTTTCAAATGGTGCGATGAACACCGTTTTTGTTGCTACAAAATGCGCAATGTAGTGGCAAATGCGCAGCTTTAATGTAACTTATTTCTTGAGGAACAATCCTTTTAAACTTATTTATTTGTTTTGGAAATGAGTTTCGACCACGTTTACTTGGTGAAGTCGCACTATAGTCGCACTTTTAGACTGATGAATTTTGATAATTTGCTTTTTTTACATGCAAAATATGGGCATTAGTACAAAATCTACAAAATAAAAAAATATTCGTTACCACTACTTGTGTGACTTGCTGTTAATTTTGGAAATAAGTGTAGGAACATATGTATATGTGGGACTTTCAATGGTTTCGGGTACATTGGTCCTGTTTCTTCCCAAAACCTCTTAATTTTATTCACGTGTGACACGTCAAGTGTCTATTTTATAATTTCTTTCTTTCTTATTTTGACTTTGAGTCAGAGGCTAGTCGTCGTCACTTTCCCTATCTTTGTTTTGCTAAGGAACAATATTTTCTGTGTGCGGATTACTGTTTTCTAAAACTTCCAGCTCATCGTTCATTACATTCTCCAAGTCACTGATTCAGCATCACTTGGTATTTCATAAAATAATGCCTCAAAGTGAAGTCGATTCATATTTTCTTATTTCTTACGGACCAGTGTGTCTTTGATTCTAGAAAAAAAATAACTCCAAGTGTCTAGTGGTTACCAACCAAAACCAGCAATAAAACGTGATGATAAAAGTTACATTAGATACACTTTTTATTCTTCTTATGTTATTATCGCATTCTCTAAACAATATACTAACCACCTGACATTTTTAAGACACTTTTATAAGAAAAACTACTCGAAATAAATAAATACACAAAGCAAAACAGCGATAATGTCAATGTACCATTCATGTACATATGATGATAATAACTTTTTTACTCGGGATATGCATAAATCGCTACAGAAGTACAATTGTGAGGTACAAGGTAACCAATTATACATAGCAGATTTGGTGAGAAACCAGCAGGCACATAAAGAAAAATTATTCAATATATGGTTAGTAGCAGTAACCACTTAGCGATAACCACGGTCTTTAAAGGTTTAAATGATAAAAAATAATAAATTAAATTTAGGAAACAATAATGGCGGTGGATTGATTATCAACAAGAAGTTTTGAATGACGAACTCTGCATTACAAGGATACACGAATAAGAAAATAAAGTAACGGAAATACACGCATTAACAACAAAACTACAAAAGGAACTTAAAGGAAACAACATATGACACAAGTCAAAAAAATCTTCCAAGAAACAAACAAGACAGTAAACATGATCGATCGAGGAGCAAGCGGTGATATGTGAAATTCCAAAAAACTATGGATTTTTCTGTCATTTTTTAACAACTGTTTTTAATAAATTTGGTAATAACAGTGTGTATAAAACAAATTATACAAAAAATGTAACGTCATTTTTTACTTTTTACTGCTCCCTTACTGGAATTGTAATATAAAATATTTTGGGGCTTTTTGTTATTTCTGTCCCAAATAGCCTTATCATGATGAAAAGTACTCATTAAAATATATAACATTCTTATTCTTTTTAGGAATATAGTTAACAACAGTGATATCTTGTGTAAAGTAGAAAAACGAACTATGAACTTCTATATTCGCAATTTGTGCTGGAAGCTCTGGCTTATTTTTTCTGAGAGTCCCCAGCATTGTA